ACACTACCAAGAGAGGGAAAGTTTCATCAAATTGTATACTTAAAAACTGTTTTGTTTCTCTGTATGTAAATTAAGAAATGACGAATTTTGAATGAAGGAAAAGATTCACTTTAAAAATTTAAAAAATTAATCATAGTGCATAAAAGTTAATGGTTCACAGAAAGTGAATAAAAGTAAACAGTAGTTACTATTATATGAAGAGCCAAAACCATCGAATTATAAAATTACAATAAAATACCTAATATCTTATTTTAATGAAGTCAAATTTTATTTTAAAGTGCAGAAATTTTGTTGCACCAGTTTCCCTTCATATATCTTTTATCTTGCTAAACTGCCCAGGCTGGCCTTGACTTGTGATCTGCCTGCCTCAACCTTCCAAGTAGAAATGTTACATATTAGATATTTTAAATATCAACCAGATTAAAGTCTTTTTAATTAATTAATTTATGTATTTTTCCAGACCCATATGCCTTCTGGTAAGAGAGGCCAAAATCCCAATCTCCTCAGGCTATCTGGAGAAACTCCAAGAGGGAAAGAAGAATCTTAACCAATTATATAGTTAATTTCTTTGAATGTGTATATGCATGACAATAGTAATGAAAGATAAATAACGTAATACAAATCATCACTTAAATGTTTCCATTTAATAAGTTCTTGTTGGTAACCTACATGCCCCAGGGAAGTAATCTCTATTAAACTTATATGCAATTGGGCAATGTTTATGGCCAGTATTTAAATATGACTCTGTGCCCACTTAAAGCTACCAAATCTTAATTTGAGGTCCTAAAATGTTTAACAGGGCAATATTGCACATTCTCATGCACATTTTCTGATTTTAACCAATCTAATTACTATCGTCATGCATATACACATTCAAAGAAATTAACTATATAATTGGTTAAAATTCTTCTTTCCCTCTTGGAGTTTCTCCAGATAGCCTGAGGAGATTGTGATTTTTGGCCTCTCTTACCAGAAGGCATATGGGTCTGGAAAAATACATAAATTAATTAATTAAAAAGACTTTAATCTGGTTGATATTTAAAGTATCTAATATGTAACATTTCTACTTGGAAGGTTGAGGCAGGCAGATCACAAGTCAAGGCCAGCCTGGGCAGTTTAGCAAGATCCTGTTTCAGAATAAAATTTTTCTGAAAGGATAGAGATACAGTTCCGTGGTAGAATGCTTGCCTAGTGTGCACAGCCCTGAGTTCTATCCCCAGTACCAAAAAAAAAAAAAAAAAAAAGTAACTTTAGCATTGTTTGAATTCTTCCTTTTTTTGTTTTATTATTTTCAGTCCAAAACCAAAAATAACACTCTTTATTGTCATAGCACAGTTATTATTATTTTATCACCTTCATATGGTACCTGTAAATGTACCTAGAGATCTGCAATATCCAATAGCTTTTTGCAGACTCTAGTATTGGTCAGAGATTCTGGAAAATTAGTATTATTTCATTTCATATTTCTTCCTGTACAATTTTGAACTTTTTTCCCTTTTTCTCTCTTAGTAATATAAATAAGCCTTGATTTCAGATTAAGGCATCCAACAACAAAATGTTAAGAAAAATCTAAAGCAGAAAACCTTCCCTATTTATCAATATTGGCTTAAAATATTAGTATTGCACACTTTTAACTATTCTCTTATTGGTATATATGATTGTAACTAAAATTTATTTTAGATTTCAGAATTTAATTTTTTTGAAATCATGAATTCAACAGCAGTGTAGAGTGAAAAGATTTTTTTTTTTTTGCAGCCAAATCGAGGTATGAAATGACACATAGTCTAGGACACATGTTTAACATATACAGTTTGATCCTTTTTGACATAGATACCCATCCACTGAAGCCACCACCAAAATCCAAATAATGGACATGTTCATCAGTTCTGAGTGTCCTTGTGCCACTTGGCTCTCCTTCCCTTTTTCTTCCTCTCTCCCCTCCCCAGTGCTTTGGGTCACAATAGTTTGAATTTTCACGAATATTATATTAATATTCTTCTGTAATCTGGCTTTTTGTACTCAGCATTATTTGGGGGCTTATCCATGTTGTCATAGTTAAACTCGTCTTTCTATTACAGAGAAGACTTCACCCAGATGTCTCAGGTCTTATTAAACTTGGTTTGTTTGAAATAAAACTCACTGTGTTCCAGCCATCAGTACACAAGCTTGATTCTTACAGTCAGTCCTGACTTCTTCCTCCCCCTTCCTCACTCTGCCTGTGTCCAGTCATCATACCAACAACCTTGCAAATATCCCTCTGGTCCATCCATTTCTTTCCATTTCTTTCTTGCTACCAACTGAGTCAAAACTATTACAACCTCTTCCCCGTCTTAGCCTGGAAATCTTCCAGTGTCTATTCTTTTCTTCATCGGATCAATTCCTCAAATCATAGCCAGAATGATTTTTCTAAAATCCCTTCACCTGCCAGCTTAAAATATTATTAACACATTCTTATTGTTCTTAGGCTGAGAAAACAACTCTGATGTGGTCCACGCCACCCTGCATGGCTTGTCCCTACTGACTTTTCTAGAGCTTCCACGACTGCCATCATGCTGGTTTACATTTAATTCCTAATCCCTGCTGTGGCTCCCCAGCTCTTCCACCA